CAATTTTGTTGCTCTAGCGGTTAGCCCCATCCCTATTCTTTGTCTGAGCTTGAGCATTAGTCTAAGCCTGAGCCTGAGTCTGAGCCTGAGCTTGAGCTTGAGCTTGAGCTTAAGCCTAAAGAGTGAGCCTAAAGCCTGAGCTTAAAGCCTGAGCCTAAAGTCTGACCCTAAAGCCTGAGCCTAAAGCCTGCGCCTAAAGCCTGCGCCTAAAGCCTGAGCCTAAAGCTTGAGCCTAAAGCTTGAGCCTACAGCTTGAGCCTAAAGCCTGAGCCTAAAGCCTGAGCCTAAAGCTTGAACTTAAAGCCTGAGCCTGGAACTGAGTCTAAGCCTTAGCTTTCAAAACATGTAATTTAAAAATTTTACCACGGATTTCGCACTATAACAGCATAATACTATGCCAGTTCCCAAGTGTATTCAGTTGCGCAGCACCGGAACGGCATAATTAATGGCTTGGAGGGTTGGCTCTTTTCTCTTCACAAGATTCTCTTTATAACGCCTTCGAGGCACTTTATTTACTCTCACCTCTGACACCAGAAACCCCTAATTATTTGGCTAGATTTATGGGTTTTTACAAAGAGATTTGGCGATTTTTAGAGATTTTTAGCGAAAGATCATTGGTTTCGAAGAGAGCGGGTAGAAAAAAATCAAAAATGACGTGATTTTTATATAATGTGAAGTGTGAAAAGTAATATTTTGATGACATTGGTCAAAGTTTTGGTAAAATACGGGCTACGTCTGTGCGGCTTTAAATACATATTGTTTTTGCTATAAAAATTCGAATTTTTACCACATTTTAACGATTTTTGGTAATTTTAATTATTTTTTTTAGTTTTTTCAATCAAAAAGTAATTATAACGTTTTTAAATTAAGTTACAAGGCTTTTCTGTCCTACCTATTAAAAAAAACTTTTTCTGTCCAAGCGGATTCGAACCCCCATGCTTTGGAACGCAAGTCGAGCGCTTGCACCACTATACTAAAATGGGGTTAAAAGCACTTATTTTGATATTTTAAAATTTGTTTTTGATACGAAATTTCATGCTGATTGTGAATATAAAATTATTTTTTAGATTTTATGAAAGTGAAAAAAATTATGGTCAAATTTAACTTTTGGTTTTTTCAGTATGATACTGCCAATCAAATTAGATGAAAAATTAGTTATAATTTTTGAAAAATGAAAAAATTTATGGCCAAATTTAGTGTCAGATCGACCATCTTTTAAAATTTTTTTTGATTTTTTGTAGTTTTTGTATATTTATTATCGTTAATCAAAATGGATTGAGCTGATAACTGGTATTTTACCATACCGTTTGCTTTTTTCTTACTATTCTTTTCAAAATTTAGCTTTTTTTTTATTGTCGCGGCTTAATTTCGCAGTTCTTAAGTGACTTATTCAGGTGCGAAAGAGGTGTTGATGCTAGAGACAATAGGGTTACTTTGGCTTGTAATAACAGGTTACAAAAAGCTGGATTTTTCAAAAAAAAATTTTGTTTGTCAACAGTTTTTTAAATTTTTTAAAAATTTAAAAAAAAATTTTTTTTTCAAAAAATTTCGAAACTTCAAAAATTTTTAAAAAATTTTAAAATCTTTTAATTATATTCATCAGCTCATGTGTCATTAGTATAAGTAACGCATTGCGCGAGCATTATTGCAAATTCCGGCGAGCCGCGGCCGAAACGTTTGTTTAGTCGCGCGTTTCTTGGTCCTAATCCGGGAGGGGAGTCTCATTTTCGGTTCGATTCAAACATTGCATAACATTTGTTTATCTTGTTTCGCTCTTCTAATTGACTCGAGGGATGGAATGAGTGAAACAAAACGAAATTTGAATATTATAATTACTGGTTATGGGGATGGGTGAAAGAATGGCGGAGTGACTGGTTTTGGTGGATTTTGAATTAATTTTTTATTGATTTTAAACGACTTTTGTATTTTTACGGTAGGATTTAATATTAACACTATTTTTACTATTACCAAGCTTTAAAGTTGCTTAATGTTTTGCACGGTGCAAAGACAAAAACTGTTAAAACTGCACCGTGCAGTCAAAATGTCATTTTAAAATGGCTCTAAATTACCTCTGCCTTTAAATCTATTACAATACTGTTTATATCGATTACACTTCATAAACTTGAATTATATTCGTTTGCGTTCAAGCGGATTCGAACCAACTTGCTTTAGAACGCAAGCCCGCCGCGCAAACCACTGTACTACGAGGGTTGAAACGCTTAATTTTAAAAATAAAAAAGGCGTTTCTAAATAAAATTTCATGCGGATTCTAAATATTTGATTAAATTCTATCTGTTTTTAAAAAGAAAAAAGTTATGATCATTTTTGTGACCTCAACTCAACATATTTTTCAATGATCTTGACCTAAAACGTTCGCTCTTTCAACACTGTCATCCTTTTTCAAACCCATAACCTTTGCAATTATAATTTGCTTTAGCATTTGTATTTAAATTCAATAAAAACTTTTGAAAAATTGGTACGCGCAGTTATTTATATTCAGATTCATTATAATTTCAAAGCGTTTCCCGAGTTTCTAATGCGTTTCCGCCGCAATTCGGAATACTTTTGGTGGGGAGTTAATAGAGCCAACTTTGAAAATAAGCAGGATTATAAGGTTTTTATGGAAATTTTAATATTTTTTCTAAAGTGAATAATTTAAAGGGTGATTTTAAAGTTTTTTTGACTTTTATCTATCAGTGCAAGAATAACATCATTTTGAGCTCTTAAAATAGTCCTAAATTTTTTACCTTTATAGTTAAACAAAAGCCATATAGATATTCAAAATCAGCATGAATTTCTGCTCAGAACCATATTTTAAAAGTATAAAAATATTGATTTTAAAAAAAGTAGTAGAGAACGCGCTAGATTCCGGCGCCAAAGTATGTTGTTTCGAATCCGGTTGGAGGTAAAGTAACTTTTTAGGGTTTTGTTAGTACAAAATGATGGTTTTTATTGTTTCCCTTTAATTTTAGCTTTTTTAAAGGTTTTTTAGTATTTTAAAATTTAAAAAATTCTAAAAAAAATTTAAAATAAAAAAAAGTTTTAATTCGGAAAAATTTTTAAAATTGCCAAAAATTTGTTGTCAAAACCAAAAATAAAAAATGTTCAGTTGAATAATTGTTCAACACCATTTATTATATTTGGCAGTTAATTTCTTCGCTTTTCACACTCGCAGCGGGATTTCCTGCGGGCGCAGTTTTGAAGGCAAAATTAACCAAATTCGAACCGAATTTTCATTTTTATTATTTTTATGAAATTTTTAGAGATTTATAGGCATGTAGAATTGATTTTTGGTATTTTTTTGGAAATTTGTTACAACTAAAAAATTTTTTTTAAATCTTTGGAATTTTTTAAACATTTTTAAAAAACTATAAAACTGAAAATAAAAAAATTAATCTTTTTTTTGTGTTTTCACTTTTAAATTGCTCGAGGGGATTTAAACACCATTTAATCCACTTTTATGGGGTTTCTATGGAGGCGCATAAGTTGCGCGAGAAAATTTGCAAAAGTTTTCGTGTTAATACCTTATGTAAAAATTAGCACATACGATTAAGCGACAAGGGAAGGGGTGGTTAAGATGGGCTTGAACTCTATTCAAAGCGAAACAAATTCGAATGTTTATGGGGGCGGGGTAAATTAGATGTCGGTGTTTTATGGGGTGAGAGAGGGGTGAAAGGCTTTTATTATGTGCTTTTTTAAGTACGGTAGAATAGATTGGTAGGGCAAGGCTAGCTTTGGTAGGGCAAGGCTAGCTTTGGTAGGGCAAGGCTAGCTTTGGTAGGGCAAGGCTAGCTTTGGTAGGGCAAGGCTAGCTTTGGTAGGGCAAGGCTAGCTTTGGTAGGGCAAGGCTAGCTTTGGTAGGGCAAGGCTATCTTTGGTAGGGCAAGGCTAGATTTTGTAGGACATCTATTAATTCCTAATTCATACTGAGTACTTGTTATTCCAACCAATAGTACAATACCCAAAATATAAAAAGGTCGTATTGTTGTTGTCACCTCATAATTCTGATTAATCTCAATATACTCATTAATGATTACATACAATTATTTACGTGTGAAAGAATTGCATGTTATCATCAAAAGGTGTAGTACATTTTTACTGTGAAGTAAAAAACAAATGTAAAAAAGGCATTTTGTGTTCTTTGTTTTATGGCCTGTCAATCTTTCCATTAGCCGCTCTTGAGTAAGGTTTTCTGCCGAAATAGGTAAGAAATTGGTCAAAAAGTTTATAGAATTAAGTTTTTACAATTTTTTTTTCGAATTTTACTTTTTAAATTTAAAAAAAAAATTTAGATTTTGAAATATTTTTTTTTAATTTTTGAAATTTTTTGAATTTTGAAATTTTTTTTCGAATTTTGTGTTTTTTTAATTTTAAAACCTTTTAAAATTCAAAATTTTTTTTGAATTTTGAAATTTTTAATAATTTTACCAGTCTCCGTATTTTACATACCAAAAACCTTTATTTTAATGCCATTTCTTTATTGATTTCAACATAAAAGTGATTAAAGTCAAAACGGATAAAACTTTTAACGATTGGCAAACAAACCAACTTTAAACGCTCGATTCAAATCTTGAATTCGATTAAAAAAACGATTTGTTTTTGGGCCGAATTTCGTTGGTTTGAAACGCCTTTTCGCACCTCATGTTGTAATAGCAAATGTGTCAGCTTGTTAAAGTCATATCCTATCTTGTTACCTCAAATTTTAGCTTTGCATGGCATTTTAATCGTCATTTTTTGAACTTCGAACATTTGCTATCATGGTTAATATAATTTAACTCAAATTTTCTTAGCTTTATACTAAACCTAGAGATTTGAAATTTTGAGAAATAAAACCCTATAGTATTTACTATATTTTTGCTATGTAAAATACGAGGCATCGATATTCATCATTATATTACAGTACCTCTTCTAAAACCAAACATTTCAGTCCCCAATGCACCCGGCTTTCAGCAATCTACACCTCTGACCATTGTCGCCCAATTCAACAACAGAACGGCACGATGAAGACTCCGGATGCCGCCGTTTCGTTGATGTTACCACACGCTCCATTGGACTATAATGGCAGCATTCAGCGACGTATACCTCCACCACCAGAGAGGAGGAAGCCGATCAAGTCGAATGTTTCGTGGAGATTCCGAGTTTTCAACGAAAATACCGCCGTTCTGTTCTTTTTGGCATTCGTATTGACTCTGGCGTTGTTTGTGGCACAGTCGGTTTTCAAAAGTGAGTTTTAGGCTTATTTTTTGAAAATTCCAGAAAACAAGTCATAATAACATAGTAACTGTCATACTAAGTCTACATACGAAAATTTTGTGCGCCGTATTTTACACAGCGTTTTTAGAAATACAGATGTTTAGTTTAATTTTTGTCGATTTAAAAGCGTTGCGATGACATCTTTCCTGGAAGTTTCTGAAAAATCGAAGTTTTTGGTCGAAATTCCTCATTTTTTCAGATTCCTTTTTGACATTATACTCAAGACATGAAATTGTCGATTTGGTACGAACAGATGCAACCTTTGAAATTGGGAAATCGACTGGTATTAAGGCTCCAGCCAGGAAATTGGCTTATGCGTAAGTTAACAACATTTTTTGCTTGTGATGTATTTTAGGTGTTTAAACTAGTTTTAACACTTGGAATTGTAGATTTAGAGTTTGCTTTAGAGTCTTATCTCACGTATTTTAACAATTTGAGTAAAGGTCTATCTTAAAAAAGGGCGTTTCCCCTATTTTTAAGCTACCCATCACTTTGATGTCTAAAACAATATTTTCAGGACGATTATGATCTCAGAATCGGCCAATTTGGCATTGATGTTTAATACTACGAATTCAGCAAGGTTTGTAGTGTATGCTATGAGAACGTTGAGTCCAACACCAACGTTATATGACTTCAGACGTGTTGTTAAAGTTGATCGACTTCATTCACAAGGTGTTGTTATCAAAGAAGACGCTGCGGAAGATGTTTTTTATGAAAGTGAAGTAAGTTATGGGTGTTTTTCGTTAGATTATTGTTTTTAGAAGCTATTGTGGTTGCTTTGAATGTTTAAAAAATTGCTAACCTTAAGCAAAGCATCAAATAATATTATCCTTGCAGAATCGCAACGGCTTGGTCACGTTCCCCGTTCATTCTGGTCAATATCACATTGCTATACTGAATGATCATATTGAGCCAATTGTCATGACTATAACGCCGTTTTTGTTCACCGAAAACAGTCAAAATACCTGCAAGTTTGAATGTTTTGGCAAAGGATCTTGTCATAACGGGAGCTGCCAGTGTTTTCCTGGATATTCCGGCAAATATTGTCAAGAAAGTGAGTTTTTTGGTAAATTTAGGTATTAAAAAGTATTGTAGTTATGTGAAAAGATATTTGATTTGTCGTGTAGGCTATTTTGAGGCTTATTGTCCAACACCAAGCGTATTTTACATTATTTTAGGCAGCAAAGCAGTCTTTTTCAATAAAGAATTTTAAAAAATAAAATTTTTTACTTTTGTGATATTTCTCAGGTTGTAAAGAAAGTTTTTGCATAGAAAAATACTTTTTTTGATAAAACATTATTAGAGTTAAAAAATGGCATTTCAGCATCATGTCCAATATTATGCTCTGGGAACGGTGTCTTCTCTAATGGCGAATGCGTTTGCCATCAAGGATATCATGGTAAGATCTGTGAGAAGTTGGACAGAAAACTTGAGCCATCGTATCTACAGCCATTTGACGGCGGTTTTCATCGTGAGTTTTTTAAAAATTTAGTTTAAAATTTGAACTTTGATCAAAAAATGGGTTTTTTAGCGTTTTTTTGGGTATAAACTGCCATTTTTAAATGGATGAGATCAAATTTGTAAAAAATGTAGTGTAAACTAGTTGAAATCACATCTTCTCTTTCAGATTCAAACATAATGCCATTATCATCCGAGCTATCCGCTCCAAAATCGACCGAAGCGTCTTATGTGGCATCGACTGTAAATACGAAAAATAATGAAATAATAACGACAAGGTCTACTTTAACATGTCATAACGGTGGTGAAGCGAGATATAATAAGTGTGTATGTAGACTTGGGTTTGGTGGAGCTAAATGTGATGAGATCAAGTGCCCAAATGACTGTAATGGGCATGGCAGATGTTCTGATGGCATCTGTTCATGTGATGTTGGATGGAATGGAAAAGATTGTGGGATTGGTGAGTATATTTGGTAAAATACGTTTTGATATGAGTATAATATTAAATTTGAATAAAACACTTTAATTAAAAAGAAATTATTGGAAAAGAATTTTTTTACGGTTTAAAGCTGATAAAGACTGCACGGTGCAATTTGTCCGAGAACTTTTGACTTGAATTTTGAAAAAATTATGAAAAAATAAAATTTCAGATGCTTGCCCAAGCTCCTGTAGCAATAACGGCAAGTGTAAACGAGTAAAAGGAGAGTTTAAGTGTGTTTGTAATGACAACTTCTTTGGTGATGCCTGCAGCTTCAGTATAGAGCAACAATGTGATGATGGAAGCGATAATGACAATGGTAAGCCTTTATCTTTTTGATTTTATCATCGATGGTAGACTATTTATGGAAATTTTTTCAAAAAAAAATTTTTTTTAATTGCTTACTTTGCACGGTGCATTCGGAAAATTTAAATTCTCTAAAAATAGCCGTTAAAATTAAAAAAGTCCTTTATGATTAGGTATTATGAGAAAGTATTTAATTTTGATCAGAATAAACGTACAGTTGCCTTGAATAATTTATAGAAAAAGGTTATATTGCACAGTGCAAAAATAAGCTTTGCACGGTGCAATCATTAAGAAGAATTTTGATGTTTTGTTGGGTTTTATGGGTTTTCTTAGCATTTAAACGTTAAAACTGATGTTTTTTTGGGTAATAATAATGGTTTTTAACTACAAATTATTATTTTATAAAATTTTCGAAATTTTTTAAAATTTTGGGTTTAGGTAACATTTTTTAATTTTCAGGTCATAACTTTGATATTATGATAGATTTTTTGTTATTTTTTAGGTAGATCTTCTCTATTTTTACTTACCATTGTATTATTTTTTTTTCAGATGGCCTAACTGATTGCCTGGACCCAGATTGTTGTTCATCACCTCATTGCAAGGCCAATCCTTTATGTATGACAACATCAACCAACACCTCTACTTTAATATTACCCATAAAACATGCCTCATTCTACGACAACTACAAGCATCTAATCGAAGCCGGTTCCGCTCAAAGATACGCTGATGCTAAAGCTTTCAAGAAGTCACTGTTCAGCGTCGTCAAGCTCAGAATCATCGATGAAAAGGCGGGTCCATTGATGGGAATGCGAGTTAATAACGATTTGAAGCCGAAACAAGGCTTCACGTTGACTAACAAGCACGGTGACGCTGAGTTGGCCGTGAACGGAGGTGGTTACATTCAGCTGGCACTGCTAAGACATCCATATGGCCTACTACACTATAATGTTTATGTGGCTGAGAATCAACTTGTCGATTTGGGGGTTCTGTCGATTAAAATGCTTCAGAATGCTAAGAATTACAGTAGGACGTGGAATTGTCCCACTACAAAGAATATGGACATTTCGGCAGGGGTAAAAAACCCAGAAGTTCGTATCTACAATAATATAGCTACAGTACCAAATATGGCACCAGATTCGATTAAAATTCAACTTGAAAATGACATTTCTCTAGTGTATGATGATAAGTCATCAGTACTAGTGTTCAGATGGAGTAACTTAGAAGAGGTTAAAGAAGTGCTGCTACGGATTACGGTAGAAGAAAGAAGATTTGAGTACAGTATGAAGCCGCAAAGTAAATTTGTATTTGAATACGATAGAAAAGATGCTAAAGGGCAGAGGACCTCAGGCGCTATGGATGCTTATGGTATGGTCTTTTTTACAGGACATGAAATGGCAAGAATTTTCTGTACAAAACATTAATTGCCAAGAACTTTCTTTACAAAACAAGAAATGGCAAGAACTTTTTTTACAACCTCTAAATTTGTACTAATTTCAAAAATTTCAGTTAAAATTGGTTATGTGTTCAAAGACTGTCAAGAACCATTATGGACGAATTACAAAGAGAAACTGATAGTTAAATCTGACAAAAAAGATTGCTGTGGACCGTTAAGCTTGGATATTGACAATGTCTACAATTCTGAAGCTAGTAAGTCATCTTTATCATATTTCATGATTTTTTAGTGATTTTTTATTATTGATGCAAAAAGAATGGCGCGTGGAAAAAAAATATTTTTTAGAAAAATTTTGACGTTGATTCTAAAAGAATGGCGCGTCAGGAAGTAAAAATGTTTTTTGAGTTTTTTTGCTTTTGATGCAAAAATAATGGCGCGTCAGTGAAAAAAGTTTTTTTTGAAAATCTTATTTTTGACGCAAAAAGAATGGCACATCTCGAAAAAAAAATTTAACAAAAAAAATATTTTTCATTTTCAGACCTATTCGAGTATGGTAATGGCACAGTAATCGACCTGAACAAGTTCAAGTCTCTAACACCATTCAAGAATAACATGACTGTTACCTCACCAGTCGACCAGATTTTATATTTAAAGGACGGATCAGTCATTCTAAAACAACATGATAAGGTTTCGTATAATGGAAATGAAGTTTTGAATGGATTTGACTTTAAAAACGCAAAAATGGTATTGGATTCGCTGAGGAATGAAGTCAATATACTGTTTTTGAAATTGAATAAGGTATGTACAACTTTTATAATAGGCTTTTTCATAGGGTTGTTTAACCGTGGGTGGGTCGGTGTGAGGTAGAGTGAGGGTAAGGTAAGGGTAGGGTAAGATAAAGTAAGTTAGAATAGGATAAGGTAGGGTAGAGTAGGATACTTGAAAGTAGGAAAGTACGGTAGGTTTGCCGGGGGGTAGGTTTGAAGTAAGTTAAGTAGGAGTAATGAAGAGTAGAGCAGGGAAGAGTATAAGGGTAGGGTAGATTTGAAAGACAATAGTAGTGAAAGTTACGGTGTTTTAGGGCGTAACAGGATACGGTAGTGTCAAAAAAGGAAATTGCTAAGGGGAGGGTTAATGTGAGTAAATCCACTCCTTCAGTGCCTATTTTGACGGCTGATAAGTTCAGGCTGAAAGCTGTCTACTAATTTCTAATTTTTTAGGTAATAAAAATCCGATCTCTGGAGAAGTTTTCGAATCCAGCTGAAAACTATCAAATCGTTGTGGAATCGAAAGGAACCTGCAACAGTAATATTGTGGAATGCTTAAAGGAAGTGTCAGTTCATGAAGCTAAATTCAGCAGTATTCAAGGTAAAGTTTTGTTTGGAAAACCTTAAGGTTTAGGCTTAAAAATGATATGATAGTTTTTGTTTTGTTTGAGACATGACTTTAGGCTAAAACGTGAAATTCTAGGCTTAACAGTTTAATTTTAGACTTAAAAATGCAGTTGTTGGCTTACAAAATAACTTTAGGCTTAAAAATAACACTTTTTTAATTTTAAAATTTTCGCTTTTTTAGACATAGCCTTCGACAAGCATGGCTCAATGCTAATATTGGATTCAAACGCTCTATTCTACATTGAAAACAATATTGTTCATCTTATTCAAGACTTCACGACTTCTTCATTACTTAACAAGTGTAATAAAACCTTCTTCCTTAAAGAACTGGGACTGAATGGAGCACAAAGAGTACTAGTAGACCCATTAACAGAACATATTATAGTACTAGACAAGAATGCGTTGGTTTATCGACTGGATATTCACCATGGTATTGGGCATCGGATCTACAATGGGCTTTATGATTGTGGTGGTGATGATGCGGGTGTTGGTACTGTTTTTGATAAAGCTGGTACTAGTGGTGCTACTTCTGATAAAATTAGTACTACGACTCCAGTTGAAAGGATGCACACGATAAATCACATTGAAATCGACCAAAGTTCGAACAAATTGATTATGATTGGCTATCTACCGGGAGGCGAATTAACCTCACAAAGTCTGGATTTGAATACGAATGAGGTAGAAACAATTGTGAAGGACCTGCGAAGATGCAAGTGTGTCAAAGCCGGTTGTCGATGTGGTGAGGATGAGACGAAGAATGAAGATTATGCTGTTTCATCGCTTTCTGTGGGATATAAAGGTAGGTTTTTAAGGAGAAGTTGGGCTTTTAGGTAACCTTTTTTAATTTTTTTTTAAAAACTTGAGTTTTAGGTAACAAAGGGGCTAAAGTAGTGAAGTTAGGGTGATAATCTAGATGTTTTAGAAGTATTAGCGCACAATTTCGGGGTTTTTAAGGAAAATCTCGAATTTTAGGTAACATTTTTTAATTATTATTCAAAAATATAAACTTTTTTACAATTTAAAATTTTAGGCAACATCCTATTCACCACAACCTCACCCTACGGAATCTTCAAGCTCTCCCCACTAGAAATTTTCTTCGACAAAAGTCTAGCCACCTACACAGTAACCCTACCAAACACTGGCGAATTCCACAATTTTGATAGGAACGGCCAACTTATCTCCACCGTGAACTCAACAACGCTCCAGAGGAAACGTGAATTTCGACGTGAAATCGCGACAACATCCGACTTTTCAGCCACAAAAACCGATGTCATAATGGCGAGTGGTGAGCATTTGAGTGTGTTACCAACTGCACCGAATAAGTGGACCATTACGCATGGTTTGGGCCGAAAAACTGAGGTTCAGGCTCATGAAGGTGTAGTTGAGATCAGGAAAGATGATGTTGTGGTTAAAAGGCTGGAGTTCGACGTTGGTGGACGGTTACTGAGGACTGATTTTTAGGTGCACTATACAGTAGTATTTGGAGTGTAGTACTATATTACTATACCATAACTGAACAGTATATGCACATACGACTATTGGTACAGAAGGCGTTGTGATAAGAGGAATATAGGTCTAAGAAACAATGTCATCATTTGAAAATAGGAACTTTTTTAATTTTGAAATTACGTCATCTTACGGGTTACTCAAGAAACTCATTTTTACTCAGTAAAGTTGTACAAAGTATTATTATTTCACAAAAGTATTAATATATATTCGAATTGTAAGCATTTGACTTTTAAAACTAGTGTTAAAATGCAAATATCGCCTCGGTTCACGGGTCTCTCCTTCTCTACTGTTATCTCTTGTACATACTATTATATATATTATTATAAAACACTTTTTTATACACATATAATGTTGTATTTTACATTGTTATTACCTTCTGATATTATAAAAATAAAGAAGTTTGTAGATAAGGTCATTTCATTGTACTGTCAGTGTTTCAAACGCTCATATTGAAGTAAATGTTGCAATAATCGATTATTTTTTTTGGTTTTTGTATTATATTGTTAGATTACTTTTATCGTAGTAACACGGTGAATAAATAAATATTACTTGATCGCTGAGAAATTTATTTTAATTAAAAAAGCTTTTAGATTTAAAATAAATTCTTTAAAAAGTTAAGCGATTTTTACTTACTACCATAGCCGAGACGACGGTGGAAATGAAGGTGAGTCTTTTTCTAACCTTACCTTAACCTTGATTTTTTGAAAATGTAGCGTAGACTATCTAGACCTACCTCAGCCTGGCTTTATCTATTCGTATCGTAGCATAGCTTTTTTATATTTGTACCTTACAATTTTTAGCCAGACTTTGTTAGCCTAGACTTTTATATTACAATATTTTCTTAGTTTTAGTACAGCCTTACCTTAGAAGAGTTTTAATAAGCCTTAGCTTAGCCTAGCCTTTTATGACCTTAGCTTAGCTTAACTTTTTCAAAGCAGTAGCGTAGGCTAGCTTTTGCATAACAATATTGTAGACTAGCTTTTGTATGTCTCTTTTTTTCCAGTCCTACCGTATCGTAGACTTTATAACCTTCTGTAAGCTAAAATTTTTATATTTTTACTCTTGTGAGACTTTAGCTAGCGAAACGTTAACGTTGTTCTTGCTGTATGCTAAGCTTTGTCTTTTTCTGTGAATTGTTATAGCTCTATCTGTAATCAGCCTTACTTTAGTCTTACTTTAATCTTACTCTAGCCTTTCGTTTTTCTTTCTCTAATATATTTTGACCTTCTTAATTTTTACCATAGTAACATTACAGTAACCTTTTTGCTTGTTATATGTACCTCTTTTTTGATATTTTCTGCAGTTTTTTATGTTTTCACTTTACTACAATGTAAATCTTGTATAAATAACTTCTCTATAACGTAATTTCACTTTACTATGTTGTTTATCATTTCACTCCTCTGATCAAACCTCACCCAAAACTCAATATTATTATTATACCGCCCAGACCCATTCCGTGTATATTGCCCAGACCTTGATCATCAGACTAAAGCCATCAGCCTAAGTGATTACTTTTTCAACTTGTTATTTTTGAGCTTCGAAGATAATTAATTTCCCCACCCATCCTACGATTTATATTTTCTGTTGTTCTTTTCGTAATGGTCAATTCGAAAGTGGCCCTTAGTCGGCCGAAAAGAGTTCTTAATCTTTTGTAAAGTCCATTGCCAATGCTTTTCGCGTTTTTTTTTCTCGATTGGACATTTGCGTTTGCTGTTTCACAGTGAAAGGAACATTGAACTTGAAAGGAATAAAGCGAAAAAGAAGGAGGGAGTGGGACCTCTGGGGAGTGTTATATAAATTTGTTACTGAGATTTGTAGGGTAGCGTAGGATAGAGTAGGGTAGGGTAGGGTAGGGTAGGGTAGGGTAGGGGTAGGGTAGGGTAGGGTAGGGTAGGGTAGGGTAGGGTAGGGTAGGGTAGGGTAGGGTAGGGTAGGGTAGGGTAGGGTAGGGCAGGGTAGGGTAGGGTAGGGTAGGGTAGGGTAGGATTGATTAATTAAGATAAGGAGATCTAGACATGTTGACAGGCGAGGCCCGAATTTTTTTACGTAGAAACGGGCTTTTTCGGGATTTCCAGGCTTGGCCCGTTCTAAATTTGTCTCAGGCCCGGCCGGTTGCCCATGTCTAGACAGATCTACAACTTCTAGGGCAAGGTAGAAATTTGAATTTTAGTGTAGAGTAGACTTATAATTATTTGTATTTTTAGGGTAGGGTAACACTACGGTCTCTAAGGCAGATAGACATATTATTTTCATAGTTGGGTGGCATTACGATTTTCAAGATAAGGTATATAGGATGGCTTAAATAATTTTTAAGTAGAGTAAAGTTTTTATTCTTAGAGTAAAGTAAAATACGGGATCTTGAATATTTAAAGGTACATAGTTCTAGGGTATTATAAAACCATGTATTTTTACGTTACGGTAAAAGATGATTTTTTATATACAAAAAAGTAGAGCGAGTCGTAGTAGGGCTTGTGGTGCAAAAAAAAGTAATTTTATAGTAGGTCAAGACTGTCATTTCTATTGCGGTTTATATAATGCTAACGTAAATTTAATTCCTGCACTTCCTTTGGACCATGAAGTGCATTCTAGCTAATTTTTAGTATAGTTTTAATCTTGTCGAGAATGTTTTTAAGAATGGCAAAGCAGCGTAGTATACATAAAATTAGCGTCAAAGTGTTCGTCTAATTAAAAATCCTACTAAATAGTGCTCGAAATGTCTGTAAAAAGAAACAAAACATGGCTGATGGGTTCATTTTGTTTCGTGCTGTTTAGTACTAATTTTTCTTTTAAATACGGTAGCTTTCTTTACTTCTTAGGCTCTAGCGTGCTTTATTGCCTAGCATAGCCTAGTTTAAGCCTAAACTTAAGCCTATCCTAAGGCAAGCCTAAACATAAGCCGAGCCTAAGCCTAGCCTAAGTTTATGTTTAGCGTAACCTAGCTTTAGCCTAAGCCCAACCTGGACTAAGTTTAGCATAAGTGTAAACCTGAGATTAGATTAAGTCTAGCCTAAGCCTAGTCTAAGTCCCAGCCTAATTCTAGCCCAAGTCCTAGCTTGAGTGTAGCTCAAGTCAAGCTTAAACTAGCCTAAGCCTAGCCTAATTTCTATTTTAAGTCAGCTTAAGTCTAGCCTAAGCTTAAGAGTAAGCCTATTCTAGTCAAACGCTAAAGCTCAGCCTAAGCCCAGCCTAAGCCCGGCCTAAGCCCAGCCTAAGCCCAGCCTAAGCCCAGCCTAAGCCCAGCCTAAGCCTTAACGTAACTTGCGACCTAAGCTTTAGTTAGCCTAAGTCTAGCTTATGTTTTTCCAATCCTAGTCTAAGCTTAGCCTAAGCTTAACCATAGTCCTAGTTTTATAATGCCCTGTAGCTTACTCAACTATAACCCTATCTTGAATTCAAGCATAGTAACTAGTCTTAGTAGTGCTAAAACATAGTGCCGCATTGTCCCGAACGAATTAACGCCGAAATGTTTACACTACAAATGTGATGAATTGATCCGAAAACGAATGGATTTGGCCATAAATCAGTTGTCTGATGGAATGCCGCCTTTAATGAGTGCTCTTGTTTATCCAAAAAATGCTGCCACCCTCACTTTGCCAAGTGCCTCGGCCCAAAAAATAAACCCGATTTACGATTTCGAAAAAAAGTAAAATTAAAACGATTGCCGGCTCCGGAGGGCTTTTGGTATGTATTTTTAGAGCGCTTGGGATGTTCAAATTGTCATGTGAAATTTTTTTTCGAATTTTCAAAATTTTTTTATAATTTTTTAATGGTTTTTTGTTTGTGGGGCTACTGGGACTACTGGGGCATTTCGAACTAGGGTTTGGTACATAAAGTTATAGGTATGGTGGTATATTTTGATATGACAGTTAAAAGCAAGCTTTTTATCACATTTTTGAACGTTGAAGCCTTAGTCTAAGCCCTAGTCTAAGCACTAGTTAGAGCTCTAGCCTAAGATCTAGTCTGAACCTTAGCGTAAGTTTTAGCCAAAGGTTTAGCTTAAGCCTTACTCTAAGCCCTAGCCTAGACATTAGCTAAATCCATAGTTTAAGTTTTAGCTTTAGCTGAGCCGTAACCTTTGATTTATTACTACTACTATAATATAGTTGTACATTATTGGTTTATTGGAAGCATTTGATCTTTGAATTTATATGTATGTTTATAATCCGATATAGAGAACAATTTTAATATCAATCGGTTTTAAATTATAAAAGGTCTGTATGTGCGTTTTTTACTTCTTGATCCTTTATCAGTTTGTAAATAAAGTTGGGTAATAGTCAACGTTTGTTTATTGTGGTTCAGGAATACAGCTGTCTTTTTTTACGTGTTGTGAAATTGTGCATGGGATGAAGCTTTAGCCTTATTCTAGACTTTATCTTAAGCTTGAACATTAACTACGCTTAGGCCTAAGCTTAAGTTTGTAACGTGTTAGCCTTGGCTTAACTTTCTTAACTTCTGTCTACATTTATATTGTACTTACCATTACGATTTCTATATTGCAAAGCATTTTCTTGACAATTTCCGCGATTTTTCGCGACATTACCTAATGTTGATGATAAAACGCAATAGCCTCAGAGAAATTGAAAAAAACGTTGTTGCGCAACGTTTTCATACGTAATATTATGGTTTTATGTCATATTTTGCTCGATGTAAAACGACCCAACAAATGACTGCGAGTGTTAGGATCTGATTCTCAGCCCTAGCATGATGCTTATCCGGGGCCTGAGCTTTAGTTTGAGTCCTAGTCTAACATTAAACCCTAACTTGAGCTTTTGCCTGAGCTTTAGTCGGAGCCTTAGCTTAATTCTTTGTCTAAACCATAGTTTGAGTTCTAGCTTAAGTTTTGGCCCTAGTCTGACCTCTAGCTTGAGTCTTAGCGTTGGACTTAGCTTTAGCCAGAGTTTTAGTTTAAGCTTTAGCCGAAGCCTTAGCCTGAGTGCTAGCTTTAGCATTAA